AATTTTTTCCCAAAAACAACGTCGTTTTGCGCGTTGACTGTGAAAAAATCTCATTTGACCGAGAAAATCTGTAGATTTTTCGTAGATTACATTTACGAAAATCTAGTTTTCAACTTTTATAATTTTCTCAGGCGCACTACGTTTACGATGAATTTCTTTCATTATATTCGATTTAGTAAGAGTTATCCATGGAAATAATACACTCCAAATTTGCATGATCGGAAGGCATGCATTTTTAGGTCCAAATTTTGCTCATCCGTGGAAAATATGAAAAAAAATCAAATTTCAACCTTCATAACTCTTTTATACGATGTCCGTTTATGGTGATTTTTTTTAACTATGTTTTATGTAGCAAGGGTTATGCATAGACATATCAGACTCTAAATTTGGATGTTAGGAATACATGCTTTTTAGGTCCAAAGTAGTCAAATTAACTTGACAACTCCTTATTGAAATGACAAGTCAATAGTTAAGTGAGAAATCTTATTAAATGACTCAATTTAATTGTCTAACTATAAATTTTTGTAGTGAAATTCACATGAAAACTCCCTGGTGAAATTTCACTGCTGAATTGAAAATTTGATAATAATTATTATTTTTTGTTTTTATCACCTATAAACAAGACTTAGCTATTCAAATATACAACTCAAAATTGGCAGCAAATTAACCCCTTCTATGTACTTCACAAGAAATCATACTCATTATGTCTTAGATTATCATTAAGGATGATATTTTTGTCATCGGTCTCCCATACTTTATGTATGGATCACTTTAGGTCCTTTTGATGTATCAAACAAAAGAATAAGTTATGGATAATACCGACAATGACTTGTTACATGCATTTCCACATAAGGGATTCCGAATGGAGACACATTACTCGCTCTTAGTTTTTCGAGAATTTAAAGCACGTATTCGTACAATTTTTCTACATTATTCAATGATTTTTACAAGTCGTCGATTGTCGTAGGTCAATTGTTGAACTAGTCTGGAAAGATTGCATCTTCCACCGTAAAAAGGTGAATAATTATGCTATTATGTCTAAAGGTGAAATAAAGTAGACAATCATACCAAACTACATACCTTCACCTCCAATTTTTTTTACCTTTCTAGCATTAGATATGGATTTTACAAGATGACATCTGATTACATCTACAAGTTGTTCCGCACACTCGACAACGCTATATAATTTGTAGTTTTCACCCTACTTACGATTTGATTCAAGTGATGTAGTCTATACATGAGTATAATTAGACATACACACATACACACACCATTACAATGTCCCTGACCTCATGCCATTGGGATTCCCCTATGAATTATATGAGTTTTACAAGATGAAAAACTATGATCTATCAAGTTGTTGAACCAATATGGGGAAGGGCATGTTACGGTCCATTAACGGTTGAAATCATGAAATGTCCCATTTTTTCAAACCAAAATCTTTACTTTTAAAAGATAACATGCATTCAAGATAAGGAAAAACATTGTTTGAAAATCAAGATCCAAATATCCAAATAAGAGTATATAAAATAAAACATGCGGAATTCTCAAATCGTAATACCGATGCACGTGTATAGTTAAGCCTTGCACTTACCACGATTTGATGAAGTACATGAAAAGCCTTTAACTCAAAACTATAAGCATAATGGTTAGTGAGTTCCCCAATATACGATATACTAGAATACACATAAAATGCATACGTGTGTATAGTTAAGCCTTACACTTCCCACGATTTGATGAAGTACCTGAAAAGCCTTTAACTAAAAACTATAAGCATAAAGGTTAGTGAGTTCCCTAATATACGATATGCTAGAATACACATAAAATGCATACAAACAAAGGATCTCGGCGCTAGTGTCGATCCGTATACAAAGAAGTCTCTCGGCTCTCGTGACAATCCAAATGACTACAACTAACGGCTCACTTGCAAGTTGAATCGAATATAAACTACCAAACATGCAGAATCCCATAAAACCCGATTTCTATGCGGTTTGAGGGGTTGTCGAACACTGCTCCAGTCTCCACAGTTGCTAGGAGTTGTTAAAAACTTTTCTAGAGAGTCAATAAGACCTAGTACGTACCTTGGGGATGGCCTAGAACATCAAATAAACGAGCTTGAGGTTCTCTTTTTCACTGAAAACCCTAACTCCAATAACTCTCTTTCTTCTCTCGTTTTCTCTTTGATTTGGGGTTCAAGTAGGGTGGTGATCGGTTTAAAAGGTCAAGAAAAAAGGTATCAAAAGGATTGGATCACTACTCTTTCAAAACTATCGAGATATGCATGTCCAAATGTGGGAAAGAAACAAGTGTCACTACAACGTTTTCTGCAAGGAAGAAAACAACCTGAGATTTTGTTTTTGGCAGATTTGGTCCTTCGGGTTTAGCATGTTGACAGATTAAACCTTAAGCTTAAATTGTCTTACAAATTTGATTTCCATAAATTTCCATTTAGACCATGGACTTATTATTTATTTATTTATTTATTATTATAATTATTATTATATTATTATTATTATTATCACTATTATTATTATTATTATTATATTTTTTTATTATTATATTTATTATTATTATCATTATTATTATTATTGTTATTATTATTATTATTATTATTTCCATCCATTTGAAACATCAAAAGAGTTACATACCGGGAATCGACAATAGGTCTTACAAGTCAGGTCTGGAAGTCTGCATAATGAGTAAAGTATACTCTTAGGCTGGAGTGAGTGGTAACACTCCTAGCACCTTGTCATGTCAGCTTTTTGAATGCCACCTCATTTTTCTAATTTTAACACTTAATCTTAACATTTGGTAGGGAGTGGTAACACTCCTAATACTCTATTTTTTCTTTTTCTAATTTAATTAAATGAGTTTATTTTATTACACAAATATATAAGCAGATACGCACAAACATATATGAAGGAACTGGTTATTTGATTTAAAGTTATCACAACAACGTACAATATCTTATGCATAAGATACAACAACCAAGGACTACATATTTTACATATACATGATATCAGGGTTTAGGGTTTTGACGTAAAAGCATTTTCATCTATATATTTTCTCTCTACCTCCCACCGCCTCTCCCCCTCTCTCTCTAGAATTCTCACCATGCCTAACAGAAGCTCGGCTGTAAGTTTTCCTTCCGATTTTTATAGCCTTAAATTTATAAGTTAAATTGAATTTGGTAAAGGCCTTAAGCAATCTGGTCCAACCCCTTCAACCAACCAGATTCGTGCGTCCAATTCTCTCTCTTCTCGTCAAAGATGCAGCGAGCGGATGTTAGCGACCCCCCTAGCGAGTGCTAGGGGGCGGTGCTCAAGTCTTCCTAGCGTGCTTAGCGAGTGGGGTAGCGACTCCCACTCCTTCCAGTCTTATATGTAACTTGTGATACTGACCCAATCTCGAAAGGAGATTCCTATAATTTTATATGATTTATCTAAAATTGGGACATATTACAAAAACCATAAGTTTAATCTACAACTTTTTTCTACTCTAGCCATTCTACTTAGACATAAAACATGGGACTTTAGCCATTAAGTCCTTATTACGTTAAGCTCTAAAAAAATTAATAACACATTGTTTAATTGATTTTACATGAGGTTATAAAGGTTGGCTTTAACATAGAAAATAACAAAGTGATTCCACATAAAATCATTGTTTTTAATCTAACCTTTTCATGAATTACTTGGCTTGTCTTAATTCGTGAAAAAAATGGGAACAAGGATGTACTTTAGGGCCAAAAGAGGGGACAAACACAACTACCAATGTGGTGATGGTGTTGGGGCCAAAAGAGGGATTTGCCTTTTTCGGTCTTTTTAGGTCAAGTTCATGCATCTTTGTGGGATATCTATTTGAACAGAAAGGGTACAAAGTGTTGGATATCAAAACAAATATGATCATCATTTCTCAAGATGTTAAATTCATAGAATATATATTTCCCTTCATAACATTTAGTCCCTTGGAAATTAAACTGTTTTTTTTTCCAAATTATTTTGATGAGGCATGGAAATTCTTCATCATATGTGAATATTTAACTTGTCATACCTAACACAGAAGTAAAACAGAAGATAAAATAGAATATCTAATCTACCATGTCATCATATTGACTATGTTTGTTATAATGTTGTAGTTCACAACAACTCCATTGATGATTGTTCACATACAATTTCAAATATGTATATCACCCTTCTGATAATCATTTTCATGCTTCAAATAATGTATCATCACTAATCTTCAAGACAAGTCTCAAAGTTGTTGAACCATTATTCTATAATCAAGCCAAAGACAATCATTTTTGGGAGAAAGTTATGCAAAAAGAATTTGAAGCTTTAGCAGACAATAATACTTCGGACATTGTTTCATTTCCCAAAGGAAAACACCCTATTGCATGTAAATTGGTATAGAAAGTCAAGTACAAAGAAGATGGCTTGATATAACGATACAAAGAGTGATTAGTAGCCAAGGAATTTACTCAAAACAAGGGGGTTGATTAACACGTAACCGTCTCAAATGTGGTAAAATTTAACACAGTTCGATGTTTAGTTGCTTTAGCTGTTAAAAGACATTGGAAAACTCACTAATTTGATGTAAACAAATCGTATTTACATGGTGATCTCCATGAAGAAGTATACATGAAGTTACCTCTAGGCATGAAAACTTCATCATCTTTTCTTGTACGCAAATAAAAAAAGTCTATATATGGACCGAAACATGCGTTGCGACAATGGGATATTAAATTTTTATCTACTATTATTAATCGAGGGTTCATTCAGTCACAAAATAATTATTCTGTATTAAAAAAACAAGCTAATTATTACATCATCATTGTTACAGTTTATATTGATGATGTTCTCGTCATAGGTGATCACAATGAAGAAATTATTGCTCTAAAAGAATTTTGAACGATACATTCAAAATCCCAGACATTGGAACAATTAATTTCTTTTTGGATCTTGAGTTAACTGAAACTAGTGATGGTATGACTGTTCACCAACACAAATTCATGAAGGAATTTCTTGAATATCACTCAGTTGAAACCGATCAGCCAAAGAAATCCCCATTTCCCACCAAGTTAAAAGATCTTTATGAGAAATCAGATTTACTACCAGATCCAATGGTTAACAGGCTATTTCAGTTTCTTAGTTGATTCAATATTAAACCTTCTCAAAATTTTATGAATGATTCTCTTCATGTTCCTAAATACTTAAAAGGAACAATATATCAAGGACTCTTCTTTAACAACAAAGATGATTTCAAATTGGAGGCGTTCTATGATTAGGATTGGGCAGCATGTCAAAATACTTGAAGATTCGTGAGTGGTTTCTTCATTAATTTGGGTGGAATCCTGATATCTTCGAAATCCAAGAAGCAGACTATTGTATCATTGTCATCCGTAGAGGCGGAATGCATATCTATGCGAAGAGTTTTTTCTAAGCTTACATGGTTAAATAGGTTATTAGTCGAGTTTGAATTTTGAAATATCACATCCACTCTAATGATATGCGACAATATGGCGACAATATACATAACAAAGAGTCTTGTCTTTCACGAAAAAACCAAGCATCTGATCTTAAATGTCATTTTGTTAGGAAAAAACTACATAGTGGACTCATCTCATTATCTTATATTCCTACAACAAAACAACTGGCGGATGTTTTTACCAAAGTTTTGTTAGGATTGGATCATCTCAGAGTTGTTTCCAAGTTGGGTTTAGAACCTTATCCTCCGGCTTAAGGGCAGCTGCTGGAATACATAGTGAAAGTTCTTTGTTGGCTTATTATTTAAACGATTGTTAAAAATAGTTATTCATAGTTAGATTAGTTAATCATAGTTAGGAAATTTGTTATGTTTTAATTCCTTGTATATATATGTATCACAGATGATGTGTTAATGACAGGTAGAAAATACCCTCTCAAAACCTCCATTTCTACATATGTAAAGCTATAAACTAGTGTTCTGTATAGTTTTCTAATAACTAGTAATCATTATATAATTAGCCTATAAAAAGGTCATTTTCTTTGGTAAATAAACACAATCAATATATTCGATAGTTCAAGTTTTTTCCAGATTATAAAAGACTTTCTTTGTGTCATTCACTACATTGACTTCTCACTATCGTCGTGATATTTGTTTCATGCTATTCCATTATTCATTCCCTTATGTTCATTTGCAGACCAAAAACTCACAAGTCAAGTTCATGAAATTGTGGGAAGGATAAATGGTAGATTTGGGTCATTAACAACCGTTCCTATTCATTATCTGGTTAGCCTTCTACTATATGAATTAATAATGGGGTTGTATGGTAAGTAAACCTCTCTCTCTATATATATATATATATATATATATATATATATATATATATATCTATATATATATATATCTCTATATATAATATATATATATATATCTATATATTATATATTCAAATGTTTCTCGCATCTATTGTGTCCTAGAATGCACCAATAAAAATTTAGTAAAAATTAAATTATTATTTAATCAAATAAAGATAGATATTAAATAATTTTCATAATTATATGTATATTAAATGATATCCATAATTATAATTTTTTTTTTATGGAAACTAATAAATTCGTCATTAATATTAATAATTATATTCTTTCAGAATTAATTCACATCTATTTTTTATTTATGAGTTTGTATTTTGTTTCATTACCCACTCACTCAAAATACAACAAAGTTGCTTAGAAAATTTAGAACGAGAGTGTGTTGTAGTACAATGATAGTTTATTCCAGAAGATTGAGAGTATATTCTAACAGAATAAGAGTGTATTCTAGTATAATACACTCTCGTTCTTCATATTCCATGCAACTTTGTTGTATTGTAAATGAGTGTGTCCATAAACAAAAAAACGAACCCATACATGAAAACTTAGATGTGAATTTATTATGAAAGATTGTTATTACCGATATTAATAACGAATTTAATTAGTTTTCATAAAAAAGAGAATTATAATTATGGATATTATTTAATATGCATACAATTATTGAAATCATTTAATATCTATCTTTATTTAATTAAATAATTATTTAATTTTACGAAATTTCTATTGCTACACTCTAGAACACACAATAAATGTAAGAAACATATGAACCTAGCCTTTATTTATATATATATATATATATATATATATATATAATATATATTATATATATATATATATATATATATATATATATCTATATATATATATCAGTGTTGTAGAAATCTTTGCGGCCTTTGAACCGATTAAGATTAAGGTGTTTGACGGAAATTGGTCAAACTCGGGGTTGGCGGTCTTTTGGCGGTCTTGGCGGTCCTTGGCGGTCATAGGCGGGGAAATTTTTAAAAATTCAAAAATTTTAATTTTCAAATATTACACCAAAATTTTAAATTTTCAAATTTTTAAGTTTTCAAATATTAAATAGTATACAAAAATTTTCAAAATTTTAAAATTTTAAAATTAAATTTTCAAAAATTAATTTTTTAGGAAATATTAATTTTTCAAATAACTTTATTAATAATTTAGGGTCCCCGATTAATCGTCAATTAAACACCACCTAGTCCGATTAATCGCTTATCGTCAGTCAACCGTCGAGCTACCGCCGAACAATTTTCACAACCTTGATATATATATATATCTATATATATATATATATATATATATATATATATATATCTATATATATATATATATATTATATATATATATATATCTATATATATATATATATATACATTCCTTACAAGAGTTATGATAAATTAAGAGGTATTAGTCTGACTATTAAAGACCATTACATGATATCTGCAGGATCGCTCTATTGATTTTCATGCTTTATGTGCACTCTATTCTGTCACTGGTACTTATCCCCTCTCTCGCTTTTGATAGTTTATATGATATTTGTGTTCTGTTATGTGTCAGCCAACCAGAAATGTTAACGAGACTTCTTCCGGGGTTCTAGTAAATGGTTCCCGTGTTATATTTAGATATGAATACATATCAATTACCGGAAATATGCTTAGTAAGAACAAAAAATAAATAAAAATTCGTGGACACAAATCTCCATATGTAAATGGTTCATAGGTTATATAGGTGCTTTTAACTTGCCAGCTTTCCAAACATGAAGATTGCTGAAATTTTAATGGGAAGGAGGACGTAAGAGGTATATGTGTGTCTTAAACAAGCTAAGGTTTTGCCATACCGAATCTATGATGCCATTTTGGTTTGAGAAAGAACTATTGCGTCCTTATTTGTATGCAGTTCATTCTTAATTTGGCAAATCGTAAAACATTAAAATGAATACGTCAAAGCACCCATCGCTGATGATATGTTTCACTCCGCCAGATATAGCACTTATCACACCTCTACGGGAAGGCATGAATCTTATAAGTTACGAATTTCTCGCATGCCAAGATGCTAAAAGAGGAGTACTCATTTTAAGTGAAGTAATTATTACTAATCTTTTTATAAACGTTGTTATTCTTGTAGTGATATCTAAATCTCCATTCTTCTGGTACACATGTAGTTTGCTGGTGCTGCACAGTCGCTGGGTGCAGGAGCCATACTTGTTAATCCTTGGAACATACCCGAAGTTGCAGCTTCCATATACCATGCTTTGAATATGTCTACTGAAGAAAGAGAGAAACGTTATCTACATAACTTCTTACATGTCACAAACTACACTGCTCAAGTATGGGCCGAAACGTTATTAAGGTAGGTTTGGGCTTAACAATAATTGGTTGAATAAATGAAAAACGCTCATATAAAATCGTCATTTGAATTAGATGGTGAAACTAACATGCTTTTGATTGGATTTGAGCTTTTAAGGTTAAAAATTCTTTTAATGTTATTTAGTGCACTGAACGATACGGTGGTTGAAGCACAGTTGAGAATTAGACAACTTCCACCACCGCTACCAGTTGAAGAGGCTATTGAGCGATATGTCAAGTCAAGTAATCGACTACTAATATTGGCAAGTATAAACAATCACCTAATAGTTTGATTGTGCCATTTTGATTTAGAATGTAAAGGAGTAGAATTTGCATCAATTTCTAGTTTGATATATTGACATTTTGACGCCAAAAAACTACAGGGATTCAACGCTACTTTGACCGATCGAGTTGATACGCTTAATGGATGTCAAGGAAATCAGATAAGAGAAATGGATCTTAAATTACACCCAGATTTGAAAGAAACTCTTACAAGGCTTTGTGGTGATCCAAAAACAACTATCATTCTTCTTAGTGGAAGTGGCAGGGCTATATTGGACGAGGTACGACATTATTTGTATATGTTTTTGGGATCGAATACCTTACAAAGAACCTAAGAAAACAATATACAATGATGATAGTTTCAAATATATAATAATACACATCAATATTCGAGTGCTTTGGTCTTTCAAATCTACCTCATGAAAGGGCTATATTGGACGAGGTACGACATTATTTGTATATGTTTTTGGGATCGAATACCTTACAAAGAACCTAAGAAAACAATATACAATGATGATAGTTTCAAATATATAATAATACACATCAATATTCGAGTGCTTTGGTCTTTCAAATCTACCTCATGAAAGTTTACATCATTAATAATATTTCAAATTACAATAATATGAGGACCCTCCAAATTATAACACTACTGATTTGATTTTATGATTATTAATTTAACAATCTTGTACTGACTTTCTTAGAATTTTGGTGAGTACAACATGTGGCTGGCAGCTGAGAACGGAATGTTTTTGCGCTCCACTAAAGGTGACTGGATGATGACGATGCCTGAACATTTAAACATGTACTGGGTTGATAGTATAAAGGTACATAGCATATTTGATTCTAGGTTTACGTTGTCCATATGGTGTCTTTGTATTTTCATCTTTGAACTCCATAAACTTTTCACAGCATGTTTTCGCGTATTTCACGGAAAGAACTCCACAATCCTATATCGAGATTCGTGAGACATCACTAATTTGGAACTACAAGTATGCAGGTATGCATCCAGTGTACATAATGTTGACTATATTGTCTCATTACCACTCAGCTATATTTGTTAACGTAAAATATCTTGAAGAAAAAACAAACCATTGATGAAACCGAAATGAGAGTACAACAAACATATATAAACAAAAAGTAGGCACGACACAAATACAACAATTGATCATCAAAAGCATATAATAAGCAACAACTTGCTGTAAAACCAGATGAGCATGAATTCAAGAAGAATAGGGAAATAACACACAGACAATTGGTGGCAAGTGCCGTTTTCAAATATCCAAAGGGAAAAATATAGGGTATTTACCACCACCAATCCATGCATGTTCCCGGGTTAACCGAGTATAAAAAGTATTTATAAGTGATTTTTAGTCACTTAACTTTTAACTTTGTGCTCATTTGGTCAGTTAGCTCATTTTAAGTTTTAAAAGTTCACCGAATTTTTGGTTTTGTGTTCATTTAGTAACATAACTTTGGGTTTGGCCAATTAATTTTTGACTTTGTGCTCATTTAGTCACCTAACTTATAAAATTATGTTTACTCACCTAACTTTTAAGGGAAAATGACACAAATGCCCTACAAACTTTCTACGGTTTACCCGTTGAGTCCCTAAAGTTTTTGTCGGGCTTTATGGGCCCCTAAACTAGGATATGACCTGCTCTTTTAGTCACTGTCAACCTGTAATAGCCGGTTCAGTGACCTTTTAGACCAAAAAACTCACATTGTGCCCCTGTAAAGCCAAAAAAAAAAATAAGTTCGGGGATCAATACGTATTGAGTGTGAATCGGCTTTAGAAGAAAAATAGACTTTTTTTTGTACGAATTGATCCCCGAACTTATTTTTTGGCTTTATAGGGGCACAATGTAAGTTTTTTTGGTCTAAAAGGTCATTGAACCGACTATTACAGATTGACAGGGACTAAAAGAGCAGGTCATATATTAGTTTAAGGACCCATAAAGCCCGACAAAAACTTTAGGGACTCAACGGGTAAACCCTAGAAAGTTTGTAGGGCATTTGTGTCATTTTCCCAACTTTTAAAGTTGTACTCATTTTTATAACTTTATTTTAAAAGTTTAGTGACTAAATAAACACAATTTTATAAGTTAGGTGACTAAATTAGAACCGAGCCAAAAGTTAATTAAGTGACCAAACCAAAAGTTAGGTGATTAAATGAGCAAAAAACCAAAAGTTCGGTGACCTTTTAAAACTTAAATGAGTTAATCGACCAAATGAAGATAAAGCCATGAGCATAAAACAAAAAGTTAGTGGGCAAAAATGATATAAACCCATAAATATATTGCTAATGTTTTTTTTTTTCCTATTTTTGTAATTATTGCGTGTGAGATTAATGATCCTGACCAATGATCCTTGCAATAAATATCATGCACTTAATTGTTTGTGAATGCAGATGTGGAATTTGGGAGGCTGCAAGCCAGAGACATGCTGCAATATCTCTGGACAGGTTCGATATCTAATGCGTCAGTGGATGTTGTGCATGGTGACTGCACTGTAGAGGTCCGACCATTTGGCGTTACAAAGGTGCTTGTTTCTCTCTTTTCCTGCAACATATTATGTAAATATGCTGGTTCTCATGGCAGCTATCATAAACATATATATTCTAATCGATCTTTCTCAAATGAATCTTTATTAATACAAACAGGGTCTTACCATTGGTCGCATTTTAGGAGAGATTAATAATTGCAAATCTATTTCCGCGCCAATAAATTATGTCTTATGCATTGGCCATTCTCTAGGGAAGGTATATGCTCCAGCATCTTAACTATTTTCTACTTTGTGTGATATTGTGTTTGGGGACGTGTATTATATAATTTTAATATTTTAAAAGTATATATTACATAAAAACCATGTATACTTCGAATTTCTCACACTGGAAAAAAAAAGTGTTTTAAACTTGATCATGTTTACAGGACGAAGATATTTACACAATCTTTGAGCCCGAGTTTCCCTCAAGGGACATTAGCATTCCAAGACTGATTCTAAGTGATATAACAAATCCTTTTGGGCGAAGTGGGTCTCAAAAGCATACTCATGAACTAGATTTGGAAAATAAGCAAAACAATAATAATGACAACGACATTAACAATGTTGTTGAGAATGGTAACAGACAATCATCACCATTCCTTAGTAAGTTAACATGGAATTTACTTGATCTAGAAAGGGACAACTATTTCTCGTGTGCGGTTGGAAAAACACGTACAAAGGCCCACTACCTACTCCCAACATCGGATGACGTGGTCTCCCTTCTAAAAGGCCTTGCCCTGGCATCATGAACATGTATGAGTTTATGTGACAAGAAGAGCTTCATAGTTCCATAATCAGGGAAATATTTTGTCAATGAATGGGTTTGTGTAATAATCTGGATTTCGCTTTCGGATAACTCAAAGATACTAATTTCAAATACTACACTCAAGGGAAAGTTAAAAATGCTCAACACATTTTACGAATGTTGACATGACTGCTTGTTATTATTATTATTATTATTTTGGCTTGTTCACTTATAGAGTTATATCTTCTTGTTTTTATTGAATTGTGAAATTTTTTTACATTCCAATTAGTTTTCTGGATGAGATCTCTTGTTAGGCTATCGTCTTAATTGCTGGTCATCGCAGCAGATGGTTCAACATCACTCACCTGCAGGCTTTGTTTCTTGGCGGTGGTCTTAGACACCGGCCCCTTCACCATCTACCCCTAGCTGTAGTGGTTCTGTGATTAGCTGGTTCAACAATTTCAAGTTCGGAGGTTTATCATTCCGTTTCAACAGTTAGGTTTATGTTTGTCGACTATATTCATAGCTATCATCATTCGACTTCTAATTTATTATTTTATGGTATCAATCATTAAGTTTCTAATGCGCTTTTTTATCGTTCCTTGTTGGGTTTAATCGGTTTGTCATAGCTCACGTCCATGGTGAAACTTTAGGTTTTATAAGTATTTATTGTTTAATACATTATGTTTAGTTAATAGTTTTTGTATTTAGAATTGGTCTTTGGTTTTGACCGGATTCTATGGAATTGTACGGTGTTTAGGTAGAGTAAGTAGCATGGGTTGTTTCATGCTTCACGTGGGTATCTAAGAAGCTATATATACAGTCTTTATTATTGATATGAATAAAACAAGAGGTTTGAAAAGATGTAGCCCCACGTATGTTGTAGCAGCAACTTGCCCCACCCCATTAAGTTGTTATGCTTCTTCTTCTCACTCTCTGCATGCATGCATAAACACCATACACGAACCCATCTTCTCCCTTTGTTTTTCTTTTTAAGCTATAGAGTAGAGGGCCAATATCCAACATTCCTTACTTCTATGAATCAATATCAAGAAACCTCGACATAATGAAAACCGAAACCCATCTAAATGACTTCATGAGAGCCAAATTCCACTACACGTACGTTACCCCATTCTACACAAACCTCTTAGGTAATTATTCTTATGGAAGTTATTGATAAACAGGTGTCTAGGAGAGGCTTCCATGGTTTTGTCATTGTCCGGTTTTTGGGGTTTTTCGTCAAACCGAAGTCAAACCATTAGTAACGGTTATTATCAATCAAAAACCGAAGTCAAACTATTGAAAATTAAAAATGAACCAAAGTGAACCGTTACGATTTGCCTCCGGTTTCTTTTCACGGTTTGGGTTTTTTAGGCCTATTTGAATCGAACTCATTAGACTAATTTTTTCAAAATAAATTATCAAATAAATCTGTCAAAGATTATGTTGGAGTCGAAAGATCGAGGGATGGGCTTCACAATACAAAGATTTGGTTTATAACTTTTGTTTATAAGACTTAAAGACATTAGTTACATGGGTTTTAAATTTTTATTATTTGTATATAAAAAACTAATATATATATATATATATATATATATATATATATATATATATATATATATATATATATATATATATATATATATAGAGAGAGAGAGAGAGGTTGTAGATGGACATCTATTGTATAGACGTAAGTAATAATATTACAATATGGAAACTGAACTTTCAGTCAACTATGTTAAAAGCTTGGCAATTTTGGATTTCTCATTAAATATTAAATGATGGCCTAATCAAATCAAAATGTTTTAATAATAGTGTTTCTGATTCTGATTTCTGATTGAAGACCAAACTTTGAAATGTGAGTAACATTTGCTGACTTAAACACAGACAAACCTCTGTTACGATATTTTGATGTTGGTGATGTAGGCATATATGGCATATGGAATACCCCAGAACTATCTAAGAAGGCAAGCCTTATTTCAGAAGGTAGTGAACTTCATTGTTGAATTTGTTTTTTGTACTATGTATCTCTATGGAGATATCTTGAGCATACAAGTTGATTCGGTTTGGACATAAAGTAAGATCAAACCTCAATTCACATTAATTAATCTGTCCATAATTTTGTTAAACCTCAATTCACTTGAAATATTCAGAATGTTTTTGTATAAATGTATTTTGTCACAATGTTTGTATAAATCTGTTATGTTAGAATGTCTTTTGTATGTATATAAAGGAATTCTGTAGTTCTAATCTTCTAATTACAAGCAAGTTGGTTAATTAATTCAGGATTCTTAAAGAAGATAATGTGATGAGGGGTTTTTCTATGGTTCGAATCAAGTGAGTTTGAAAATTAAAATGAATTCTCTCAAGTGCATTTTGGATCTGAAAAGAAAATCAAATTCATTCTGGATTGTGGTAGATGATCAAGTGCATTCTAGATTATGGTCGTAGATGAAATCTATTCTCCTAGAATGCATTCTGATTTCTTTAGTTTTTTTAATGCATTTTGATGTATTTTATTTTCTTATCGTATTTTAAGTTCATTATCATAAAAGTGTAAACATATTTTGTAAGAAAATCGTTTACATTTCTATTTTACCATTCAAATGGTATTTTATTCGACCCATTATTGGAGAATTAGTGAAGAATGATTTGATATTCATTCTTAGTGGATAAAACCACAATCTTTCAAGAGAAAACTCTTTATTAGTATACGGTTGGCAGTCTCATAGAATATCATTCTAAAAGAATGTCATTCAGACAGAATAAAATCGATTATAATTGAAAATTACATTAGAAAAGAAATTAAATAAATTTAAAAAGTCAGATTTTTAAAATTAAGAAAATCAATTATCCCTTAAAAAATGAATTTTTCTCTTTTAAATATAATTTAATTGACTAAAATACATTTATAATGAAATTTGTGTGATTCTGTTATACATGTTATTCCACTATAATATCATAGACCCACATATCATAACAATACATTTTTTTTCATCAATTGGTCCAAAATTGTCCTTACGACGCGACCATAGAATAGATGTCATCCACATTACAATCTGGCTATATATATATATATATATATATATATATATATATATATATATATATATATATATATATATATATATATATATATATATATATGAAAAACTAATACTGAGGGAGGTTGTGGATCAAACAATTGCTTCTAGGCTCTAGGATAAACTTTGTGACAAGTATCAGAACAACTCACTGACCAACAGGTTGTATTAGAAGCAAAGGTTATACACTCTCAGAATGTTTGAAAGTACCCAAGTGAAAGATCATCTGGATAACTTCAATCGCATCATCTTAGATCTACAAGGTGTTGATGTGAAGATTGAAGATGAAGTTGTCACAACTAGCATTTTTAGCTAGGAAATTTTGTCCTCATTAAAGCACCAACTATTGTAAGACTTGTAATTTAAGTGGATATCATACTCTATGCTCAATCAAAGTTATTCGTTTGAATCAAATCTCCTAAGTGAAGTTCAAAACCTAATACAATACATCTCATATACTTAACTATGGGTCTGAAACCCTAAAAATCCCGGTTCAAATTTATTATGGACTAGGATCCTCTTATTGGGCCTAATGGACCAATAAACTTTCAAGTTGGGTATGTTGGGCCAAGGAACCCTATTTGGGGCTCTAATTGGACCCACATTCATTAAGCTAAAGTATTTTGGGCCATGTTGGGCCTAAAATGACTCACTTCGTTTTTATGCGCCTTAATGGGCCATAGATGTTTTCTTGAACCTAAATGGGCCTAAAACCCATTATGTTCACTCTTTTGGGCCGTAAACCCCTAAGAGGGCCCAATGGGCCGAAAACTTCCACCTTGGACCTTGTAGTTTCAAGTATATTCAATTCTAGCCCTATATTTCTTCTCACCCTATCTCATTCTCGGCCCAATATAAAAAAAAATAAAATAAAATAACAAGATGATAATTAAGGTGTTGCCACCTAATCTTTGTATGGTGGACTTCCGTGCTTAAATACAACAAATATTAAGACAATCACATACACCCATGCAACATCATTTCAACATTTCTCTCCTTATTCTCTCTTCTTCTTAACTCTCGGCCAAAGAGTTTGTCACCACTCTCATCTTCTTTCATTTCAACTACACCAAAAATCTCTCTAGAACATCAAGAATTTACTCATCTTATATCCAAAATTTCGATTGTGTCTTGTAAAAGATCAAGAACTCTCCAATAAAGCTCATCATTCTTGGTAAGTTCTTGTTTAACTCTATGGTTTAACTTCAATTTTACACTAAAAATCTCTCCTTAACCCACATCATTTCATGATCCATGCTCTTAGAACTTTATAGATCTCGAAACTCTCCTCAAGGAAACATTTAGGGCCGAGATCTTCTCATTTCCTCACCAAAAACCGAAAGCTTCAAAGCAAACTGAGTTCATACCCCCTATTTTCAATTTTTTACTTTGTTTTGGGGGAGAATATAAGTTGTTTTGTGTAGATCTATGTGTGTATGTATGATGTTTTGTGTTTTTCTAGTTATATCTGTGATTATGTGTTGTAAACCTCATGAACTTAAAGATCTACTAAAAGATGATGCTATTGGTATAACATAACACTCATTTCAACTTATCTTACAAGAAAAAGGTTTTAAAATACATACAAGTTACTTAAAGCTAAGAAAAACTTCATGAAAGGGGCTAAAAGTGACAAAATGACAAAAAAAAATGAGTTATTTATGTAACTCACGGTTAGTAGGGGTTCAAAAAGGATTTTTTTTTTTTTGCTTGCTAAACATGGTTAATTTTGACATTTGAGACATTACAAGGACTAAAAATGTAAACATTTTCATAAGTGGGCCTTATTTGGGCTTCTCACGGCTTTGGGCCAAAATTTGTAACTTTTTGGACTTTTGTGGGCTTAAATGTCATTTTCAACAAAGTTGTGCCAAAAATATAAATTTTTGATAAAAGGGATTAAAGATGTGAAATTATTAAAAATTGGGCCAAAAAGATGAAATTATCTATAATGGGCCGAAAATGCACATTTTTAGAAAAATAAGCCAAAAATGATATTTTTGACAAAAGTGAGTTAAAAATGTTATTTTTACAAAAACTCGCCTTAAATGCAAGTTTTGTTCTAAAAAGGGGCCTAAAATGTTATTTTTACCAAAATGGGCCTTAATTGTAAATTTTTGGCTTAATGGGCCAACA